ACTGCACTGTGGGGGTGACGGGGAGCAGAGGGGAGGGGATGGGATGGGATGGGGGGGGGGGGCATCAAAGGCTGGCTGTATAAATGAATATTAAAATTCAACGGCAGGGCAGCGCCCCTCCTGTGTGTGATTAGCCAAGACAGGCAGAGACGAGGGGACAGAGAAGACGGGGAAACCGAAAGGTGTTGTTGGACAGGGATACAAAGAAGATGATTGGGAAGGGAAGAGCATATAGCGAGTCAGAGAGTGAATCTGGGATGATTAATGCCGCTCCACAAAGCTGCTTGTGGAGTGCTGCGCACGAATTATCATAATCATCAACAGCAGTGTAAGTGGCAGTACTGTGAGTCATTTCAGCTCTCTCTCTCTCTCTCTCTCTCCATCACGCTAAAGCACGGCCTGTTCGTATGATCCCTGCTGTAGCCGCTTGACAACTGCCAGTATATTTCCTTCTTCCTCCTCCTTTTTCTTTTTCCCATTTGATTGCATAATTTTTTACAGAGAAAGGCAATTTTTTTTTTTTTTTTTTTTTTTTTGCGGTTCTTGTGATCGTACCGACCGCAGCAGTGTTGTTCTGCGCGTTCAGGCCTGTGCCAAGCAGTTTTGTTTCAAAACGCCACCCACCAGCTGTCAAAGAAGCAATAATTACTCCCACAACACAACTTTGAAAAGAGAAGGGAAACAAATGAAGGACTGAATAGCGCTGTTTTCTTTCATTTCCTCAGAAACCGTCTGATAAAACATGTCTGCCGTCAAAGCGAGGACGCCGAGGGCCTAGCGTAGCATGGCGCTCGCTCCGACGTGTGTTGACCTTCCTGTCTTTTCCAAGCTCTGTTAAGAAAAAGTTTAAGCTCATCAGCGCGTGACGGGAGAGAAAGTGCCTGGTCACCTTTTTCTCCTTTAACAGACTGAAAGAAAGAATGAGCGAGAGAGGGAAAAAAGAGAGGAAGAGGAGAAGGAGAGGTGTTTGGCGAGTGCAACACACAACACAAGGGCAGCTGAGAGTGGAGGCCTGTGGGGGGCGATAAAAGGAAGGAAAGATGGACGATGTGAGAAAAGAAGAGAGAAAGAGAGAGGGAAATGTGGAGGAGGTGATGAATGTAAGAGAAGAAGCTGGAGTGATGAAGAATCCTCCCATCTCCTGGGAGCAGGAGAAGAAGAAGAGGATGAAGGCAGTGGGAAGCATTAAACTGCAACTCTGTGTGGTGAGAGAAACTTTTGGGGAACTTTGAGGAAATGCAAGGTGAGAGTTTTTAGAAGGTTACTGGGAGTGACGTAGAGTTTTGTCCACAATGATCTGCTCCTCTCAAGAAGCCATAAAATGAACCCGTCGTCAAGCAGGACGTCCACAGCAGCGAAGTCAGTCGGGTTTCCTTTACGAGATCCTTTCGTCCACTTCCAGTGTCATCTGACGCACTTTCAGCTGTTTTTCGCGGCTTAGTTCGTGAATGTAGGAGAGGATATTATTTTCTTTAAAAGTTAAGCCATAGCTTCCTTGCTTGATCATGATGTTCTGTTGGAAATTACATACTTACTAAAAGTTTCAAGACATGATTTTCCTTTCTCGCTGAGTAAACATACGAGATTGAAGATTGTTTTTTCTATTATTTCTAAAAGTTGTGATGCTGTGTTGCAGTAATAAAAGATCAATTTATCCTAAAGATCCTTTCACTTCTGTAACAGAGGAGCCCACCTAAACGAGTTCTGTGAAATGACGATAATGATAATAACTGACATACGGCTGTGGAATCACAAAAACCAACTCACACACATCAGCATGTGTTGATAATGTTGGTAGTTCTTCACTGCGTAGTCGGTTTGTCATGGACTGTAGTTAAAAAAATCTTTTTTTTTGTTCTGTTAACAGTTGTAAAAGCAAATTAAATGTAATCATCAAACCAATTTTATTCAATAATTACTACTGATCTCTGATTTGTTCTGCTGTTTTGTACCAAAACATTGCCAGATGTTTTTTATTTTTTTAATTTTTTTAGGAAGTTAAGGATTTAGATGAATTACGAGCATATTTAACCATGAAGATGCTGGAATGTCACATATTTTATTTAATTGTATTATTTTCAGAAGTTTTTTTTTTGTCATCATGCCCTATTTACACTGACTGGGTTTCTGATCTCTGTGTGAATGAATTAACTCGTCTGAAATATGCTGTAATGTTTTGACCCCTGATCAAATCAGACCTCTGCAACGTGAGCAGACAGCAGAATATTTCTTGAACTCATCGCTTGGCATCTAGTTTCTACTGTGAACTGATACATTATTTTACTATGATCGGCCATCCGGCTGCAAACTATTTATGTTCAAACCCAGGAAATCAGGAACAAAACAACCAAATCTACAAAATGACCTGTTATTTTCTTGTTTGAAGCCTCCATGCAAACAGTAATGGCTAAAAAAAACACATCCCACAAAAATCCCAGGGTTTTACATATTTTGTATGTGTCTCAGCTGTTTTTAATGTTGTTTACTGAGATTTTCCCACAAAGTTTTCATATTTGGATTCATATTTGATAAAATATTAATTGGTAGAGTTTGTGTGTGTGTGTGTGTGTGTGTGTGTGTGTGTGTGTGTGTGTGTGTGTGTGTGTGTGTG